TCGTCTTTAGAAGCTAGTTAGTTCAGATGTTCTTGAAGACGGCATGTTGAAAATGAAATTGCTTCTTAAATTGAATGCAGCCTACGTAATGGCTTTAAGTTGTGATGATTTTTGATAAGCAATATTCTACGTACCGGAATTACTCGGGTTTTACCCGGCCACATCATTTGTGGCCCACTGCTGCTCAAACAGAGCAGCCTCGAGGCCAAACCCAGTCCACCTGAGCAGCTCAACACAAACACCACAGCACCACAACACAACACAATAGACCACACAACAACCATGACAGACCACACAACCGCCCCACCGCCCACACGCTGTCGCCAACAACTCCTGGTTCCTCCTACAATCTGCACAGTGTGTCAGACCAGGATATTCCATAACGTGACATCACTCAAGTTCAACACCTGCCATGGCTGGTGCCACTTTAGAGCATGTTCAGGTCTGCGCACCATGCGAGATTGGACGAGGAATTTTGATGGCCCGTGTTGCGCTGCACGGTCGCAAGCCCCAATTTCGACGCCACCCACCACAGGGTGGTACCTTCTGACTGAGATACCAACCGATCTGGGCGGGGTTGTTGTAGCTGCCACAACAAGTGTTCAGCTAGAACAAATTAAATACATTTATTGCTTTCAAATAACATCATCTTTTTCGAACGTTTTCCGGATAAGAAAGTGAATGAAAATTGTCGATTTCTGTTCGTTCCCGGGAATGTTCGGTTACATTGTTTGAAAATTTTTGGATACGTAAATGCATGATACAAATGTTTAGAGGACTTGAAATCACAACCAAATACTTTTTTGGTGGTGTGAAATTTCATAATACGACTTTTATGGTGGCTTGCGAATCCTTTAAATATAGTCAATGTTCAATATGACTCTACCCATTAGAACGGTCAAACTTTAAGGAAAGGCACCCTTCACCTCTCTGACCGCTGGGGACCGATTTAAAAATTGGGTAAAATTTGCATTTTGCCAGAAAATGTAAACTCGGGTTACGCCAACCACAGGCTTTACGCGCAGAATACCTTTCCGCGTTGGAGGCCTTCGGTCGCGCTTAGAAAAAATAACCCTAATCTACCCAACTCCGGCATCACAGTATTTTTTACAAAAAAGTGCATATTTCACACCGAATTAACAAGTTACTGTTAAAAAATTTTAAATCTTTATTTGAAGCCAAATTTTAATCCTTTGATCGCAGGCGTGTGTTATCATTTTTTTAAATTGAGTTACGCGTTTGGACATAACAACCCAAAATCATTGTACAATTAACCGAACCATACCTAAAAAAAGACCGTTTGCTTGTTCAAATTTCGATTCTAAGAACAAAATGCTCTAAATAAACAAAAAAATTAATAATACAATTTGAAGGATTTTAGATATGGGATATGGTAGCACGAAATGTCACAATCTTCTAAATTGTGAGGTTGTTAANTAAGCCAAATTTTAATCCTTTGATCGCAGGCGTGTGTTATAATTTTTTTAAATTGAGTTACGCGTTTGGACATAACAACCCAAAATCATTGTACAATTAACCGAACCATACCTAAAAAAGACCGTTTGCTTGTTCAAATTTCGATTCTAAGAACAAAATGCTCTAAAGAAACAAAAAAATTAATAATACAATTTGAAGGATTTTAGATATTGGATATGGTAGCACGAAATGTCACAATCTTCTAAATTGTGAGGTTGTTAATATGGCGACGAGACCGCACTCTCGGCAAAATTTACGTTACTTTGCTGGCTGGGAAGCATTGTATAGGCTTACAAGTATGGAAAGCGCCATTTTGTTTATTTACATTTGAAAACAGCCGAGATCACCTGATTTTCAATTCTCTCATTCTCCGCACAGAGTTACATTCAAGTTTCAGAAAAAACTTTAAAATGTAAATTGAGAAATATTTTAGAAAAATGTGTTTTTATTCATTTCAATTGATTAAATAATAAGCCAAGTCTTGCATTTCCAATAATAACGATAAATGTGTATGTTCCAGGCAATAATTTTAAATAATTGTGAAACTTATCGTTTTGCGCTAAAATACAACAATGTGTTTAAAACTCGTTGTCATTATTTCTGTTTTGAATACCATATTCGTGCCTGCCGTTGGAAAAAATAGGTAAATTTGCATTTATTTTTAAGAAAACATATAAATTAAAAAATATTCCTTTCCAGAGCGACATAGGAACAAGTAAGGTGGTAAATTTGTATGATGAATACCGCGGAAAATCTTTTGCATCAAAATTTCTATTCTAATTTGCATTTTAATTATGATATCAACAGGGATGCTTTGGAACGTATTTTTTGAAGACAAATTTTTTATACATCTNTAATTATGATATCAATAGGGATGCTTTGGAACGTATTTTTTGAAGACAAATTTTTTATACATCTTGAGATTGTTGATTTATTTTAGAATTAAAAAAGCTAGTTTATATTAAAAAATATATTTAGACTAGAAGTATGTAAACTAGTATGACAGTTAGATATAATGCATATTTGATAAGAAAGATAGAATACAAGATTGCGCCGTCCTGGCGGCGATGACATATCTGTACAGAAAGTAAACAAAGTCGATTTGGATGTTGAAAGAAAATGGAGAACAGCCAATTTTCTTAATAATACATTTTTCGATAGGGAACGTGTTTTAATTGTGCTAAATTCTAATAGCCTTATTCAAAAAAACCAAAGTAGCTTTAAAAAAGGTTTATAAATTGAAAAATGTTTGCAAACGGCAATCTAAAAAGCTTTTTAAAAATTTTATTTTTTAGGAATAAGGCGATAAAAATATATGATTTAAAATAACTTTAAACCAGGAAAATATGAAAAAAGGTGATTTTTGCGGAAGTAGGTATTAGTGAATTGCAGTGCATTTAGAGTTTCTGAGGTTTCGTTTACTTTTAGATCAGAATTGTCAAAATTGAGAAATTCAAAGTAGCAGTACAATAATAATAGAAAAGAAGATTGAGCCCTGAATGTTCTGGTATCTTTTTTGGTATCGGTTTGACAGCCAGCTCCTGTGATGATGTGGAAATTTACCACAATGAAGAAAAATATAACAATTAGGTGAAAAAAAAATTGATTTTTGCAAATTTAGTGAGCAGTAGCGCGTTTCAAGAACGATATTTCGGACAAATCGTNAATATTCCTTTCCAGAGCGACATAGGAACAAGTAAGGTGGTAAATTTGTATGATGAATACCGCGGAAAATCTTTTGCATCAAAATTTCTATTCTAATTTGCATTTTAATTATGATATCAACAGGGATGCTTTGGAACGTATTTTTTGAAGACAAATTTTTTATACATCTTGAGATTGTTGATTTATTTTAGAATTAAAAAAGCTAGTTTATATTAAAAAATATATTTAGACTAGAAGTATGTAAACTAGTATGACAGTTAGATATAATGCATATTTGATAAGAAAGATAGAATACAAGATTGCGCCGTCCTGGCGGCGATGACATATCTGTACAGAAAGTAAACAAAGTCGATTTGGATGTTGAAAGAAAATGGAGAACAGCCAATTTTCTTAATAATACATTTTTCGATAGGGAACGTGTTTTAATTGTGCTAAATTCTAATAGCCTTATTCAAAAAAACCAAAGTAGCTTTAAAAAAGGTTTATAAATTGAAAAATGTTTGCAAACGGCAATCTAAAAAGCTTTTTAAAAATTTTATTTTTTAGGAATAAGGCGATAAAAATATATGATTTAAAATAACTTTAAACCAGGAAAATATGAAAAAAGGTGATTTTTGCGGAAGTAGGTATTAGTGAATTGCAGTGCATTTAGAGTTTCTGAGGTTTCGTTTACTTTTAGATCAGAATTGTCAAAATTGAGAAATTCAAAGTAGCAGTACAATAATAATAGAAAAGAAGATTGAGCCCTGAATGTTCTGGTATCTTTTTTGGTATCGGTTTGACAGCCAGCTCCTGTGATGATGTGGAAATTTACCACAATGAAGAAAAATATAACAATTAGGTGAAAAAAAAATTGATTTTTGCAAATTTAGTGAGCAGTAGCGCGTTTCAAGAACGATATTTCGGACAAATCGTTAATGAACAACTATTTTTCCTTCCCGTCTGCTTTGGTTTTGGTAAAAAAGTTGATTAGTTCTTGCCCGCGATCAAGTCATTTCAACCACAAAATACTAGTATTTGCAAGAACCATTCACTAAAATTGTAACTAACTTTTTATTATTTATTAATTCCTTTTGGATATTCAGCAATAGCAAGATAAAAAAAAATATAAACTAAAATTAGTAATATTTTTATGAATGTAGTTATACAAGTTCACAGAGGAAACGCCGGAAAACAATGTATTCGCAACGACATAAAATGTATGGCAATTTAGATGTCAACAGAATAATAACTACGATAAAAAGCAGGAGAGAAGTGTGCGAAGAAGAAATCTTTTCAATTTGAGCAAAAAAAGCTTTAAATGCCGTTGTAAAACGGTCAACAAATTTCTTATAAAATATTTTGATTTTTACCATGGTAAAATCTTTGAGAGACAGTCTGACGTTTGCCAGCAATATAATTTTAAAATTCGAACTCAAGCTCACACACACATTCTGATTTTTAATCTCAAGCAACAAGAATTGTGAACAATTTAATTTTTTTATTTTCAATTTTGCAAACGTCAGAAAAAAATCAATTGAAACTCAGTCATATGAGTATTAAGGAAAAGAAAAATTTGAGAATAATAAATAGAAAAAGAGATGGGTGCACAAAGAGTTAAGTTAAATGTTATACCAAAATTCTTAAAAAGTAAACAAATCTAATTTTTTTTTTATGTTACTGTTTAGAGATAGCTCTTTAAATCTATTTTGTTTTTTATGAGTAAGGCAATAAGCATATACCCTTTTTATAAATAAATCTTATAGCAAGATGCTATATATTTATTTATACACTNATAAGGCAATAAGCATATACCCTTTTTATAAATAAATCTTATAGCAAGATGATATATATTTATTTATACACTTTTTGGCTGGCGAAATATGTAGTTTTTTCAACTTTTTAAAAAAGCGTATTTAACCACATTAAATTTTTTTTAATATTGAATGGCGCAACACAACAACTCTTTTTGTTGCACAAAACCGTTGAACACGTGCCTGTCATATATTTCTTCTGTTTCGACATTTCGCTATTTTGCATTTCTTTCATTTTGACGTCATTCGCATTGTCAGATTTTTGAAATTCGTTTTGGTTCGACATTCTGCTATTTCATAATTCTTTCATTCTCATGTCATCCATCTTCCATTTCTTACCTTCCATTGCCGTTCGCATCGTCGAACGTGCCTGTGAAACACTGCCGACATCATGCTTTTCAGTTTGGCAGGCACGTCCGCTGTTTGGCAGGCACGTCCGCTGTTAGAAAGAGAATAGACAAAAAGGGGCATAGGATTCCATACTTGTAATTATATACGATGCTGGGAAGTCATTGTTTTTCCTTCCGTTCAAATTGAACAATATTACCAAGTAAATATAGAATGGCAGTTTATTTAACACGATTGCTCTCAGTAGCAGAAATAAAAAGAAAGTTAATGTAATTTCTCTAAGGAGCTAATGTGCAAAATAACTTTTCTTTTAGCTTTTTGCGCAAGCTCCGCTCCAGCGGAAATACTTTGTTCCTTAGCCCCGCTCCGCTCCGAAGCCCTGGAAAAAATACAGAAACATAACTAATAACAACGCGCTTAGAGCGAGCACGGGAGCGATTTTAAGTAACATCTGGTAAGCGCGGATGGCGTACTGGATTGCAGCTAATAATTCTTCATAAATTACCAGTGGGCAAATATCCTAAACAGTTTGGGGCTCCACATAGGCAAATTGTTCTTTTGGTTATTGCCAAATTAATTTTTTCTTTCACTTCAATCAAACCCTCATTGTAATGAAAACAAAGTTCTTCTCCGGCTATTATGGAACGTTTTGCAAATATACCTTTGAAATACAAAATGGATATTAGTGAACAAAACTATTTAGGAATTTTGACTTACCAATCTTTGGAATTGGGCAATCTACGCGTACACTACGCGCTTCACAATTTGGATTACAGCTGTGATTTAAGTAACGTCCAATATTACCTCTCTTGCAGGGATCAATGATTGTTGTATGTGCGCCAAACTTCGTCGAGTATTTATCCTCTATATTACGTTCATTCAAAAAAAGAATGTAGTTCATTGAAGAAGCTTCCATGTTTTCTTTTTGTCGTCTAAGAGCTTCGTTGTGTGTTAGGATTTCACCGGCATATTCGCAAATAAAACCGCCTTGAGGAATGAGTTTTGTTGTAATGAGGCCTTTTGAGTAACACATTTCGGAGTTAATAATTTTTAGCCCTTTTCTGGGTCCTTTTTGAACAAGTCTGTTGAGGCATTTAAAGGGATCACATTCGCATTGATAATTGCATTCATAAATTAATTCCTTAGACCTCTCCCTGTCAAGAACTAATTCTTTTGATCGCAAATCAAATACATAATTTCCACTATGCAAACACAAAACACAACTGTCTTTATTTTCATTGCATTGACACCCATTGATGAGGACTGAATTATAACTTTCTTTAAGCTGCTGGTATTCTTCGCAATTGTCAGAATCTTCTTGCGTACTGAGCACGTTTTCTAGAACATAATCCACACTTAAATCATTATGTTCATGATCATCACAAATATCGAAAGCGGTCTGGTCGACTTCCATTTATGCAAAAGTTGTTCCTTTACTCAACCAACAACCTGACATTCAAATATGTAAAAAAATGTTAAATAGTTCATATAATATAATAGTCATGATTTAATAATACATTATTATTATTATTATTATTATTGAATCATGCATAATACCCAAGCAACAGTGTTAACTCAAGAAAAGTTAAACAATTTCAATTGAATAAACATGAATCTTAGAATAGTGCAGGAGTGTTCTTTTGACTGTTTTCAAACACGGCAACTCGTTACTTCTAGAAGAGGAGGTGACGGCTTTCTTATGCTCGGGCAACAAGCTTTATGCTCTCGTTCGTCTTAGTAATTCAGGGCTCGAATCCGTTCACGGATCGAAAAGGATACGAAAGAAAATTACGTGATACGTCAGACAGTATAAGCTGAATGGGACAAAGAGTACGTTTCCATATGCCATAATCCGAAAAATGTGTTTTTACGTGACGAGTAATACGATAACGTAAATATGTTACGATTCGAGCCCAGATTAGNCCATATGCCATAATCCGAAAAATGTGTTTTTACCTGACGAGTAATACGATAACGTAAATATGTTACGATTCGAGCCCAGATTAGCGGTTCAAAGCAGACAACAATTGTGTACAGACGAGTTGCTGTGCGTGAATGCAAAGGGCAGCACCAAACGAGAAATACCCGATAATATGCAACTGAAGTTGCAGCGATGTCTGAACGGAAACTAAAAACTCAAGTGTGCAAATGTGGATGCACACGAGTCGACCGATGTCGGTGCCACATCAGCGCAGCACCGTGAACGGGTGCGAGTGTGAGCATGTACGGCGGTCGTAATCGAATACAGAAATGTCTCTAATAGCATTTTCTTTTCTCGAAAAAAGGCTGCACTTATTCTGCCTTGTGTTAACGCTGTCACATTTTCATGTTCTTTTCTCAGCCCTTTCACAAGGCGTCGTGTTCTTTTCTCAGCAGGTTGCGCTCTGATCCGGCGAAAGTGCTGCCTTTTCTGCCCTAAAATAAACGTGAGGGTGAGAGTTGCATGGTTGATTTTTAATTTAATCTTGTAAAAATTCAATTATTTCCCCTATCAGAAATAAGTGTTTTGCTTTAAAATTGTTAAAGACTTACAGGCCAAGTGAATAATTCAGCTTTATTAAGTTCTATAAATAAATTGTGATGGAGTAGTACATTTTCTGTTTCATTCTCATATAAAGAATGCAACATTTTCTCAGGTTTCAGGGCAACGCAAAGTAAGAGTTCCCATATAAAAGGGCAGAACTTTTTTTGAGAAACGAAAACGCTATAAGGTCGAGGCCACGCAATGAGCAGCAAAGCAGCGAGCGGCTGAGCGGCGCCATACAAAAATGCCGCTCAGCCGCTCAGTGCATGGCCACTTCAATGGCCTTTGACAGTCTGTACACGGGTCGTATAGCTTTAGACGCGTATTAAATTTTTTATGCAGCGACGATTCCTATATGCCTCAAGATCTGCACACGAGGCGACTACAAAGTGTGGCGGCAAAAAAGTTAGACACCCTACTATTAGCTATTAAAACTTAGTTTGAGATATACTTGTATGTAAAATCTGGTAACACTGTCTTAATCATGTTTAATTTTCAAATTGACATTCTTTTTCTTGAAACATTCTAGAATGTAGATACATAATTATCTTTCTTTTCCTTTTTACGCTTTCTTGTTAACCATTCGAAAAACGTGTATACGAGTGCTACTCACCTCGCGAAGATATAGATTATTTGATACTTGATTTTGTAATAGTAATAATTTAATAAAAGCTACTGAAGAGTTTGCTGAGTAAAAACACAACCGGTGTGTAAACATTTACTGACATACCAATTGGCGTTAGGAACTCGGTAGTGGGACCTGCGCTAACACCGTGACGAGCCAGGAGCTACCCACATTGGTGACCCCGACACAAGGAATTCGAGAAGGTTCGAAAAGCACGTGACGGCATCGGCCACTTGAACAAAATGTATACGTTTTGTAGCGTGAAGAAGAGCTAGCCGTGCACTGATGTCTGAAGAAGAACAGGATAATACCACATTGCTGAATATTCCGACTCTGATCAGCGAAAAATACGCAAGCTAATTAAAGAANACCCACATTGGTGACCCCGACACAAGGAATTCGAGAAGGTTCGAAAAGCACGTGACGGCATCGGACACTTGAACAAAATGTATACGTTTTGTAGCGTGAAGAAGAGCTAGCCGTGCACTGATGTCTGAAGAAGAACAGGATAATACCACAGGGGCAGCCCACACGCCGGAAGAAAATCGTTTTACCGGTGAGTTACAACACATCAGCATTAGACCGCCTGCATTCTGCAAGCAAAGGCCCGAGTTATATTTTATCTAGATGGAATCCAATTTTGCAATTTCACATGTAAAAAGCGATGACACGAAGTATCATTATGTGATCAGTTCATTAGGTGCGGAGGCGATAATGCAAATTGCTGACATTGTAAGCAACGCGCCGGCAGCAAATAAATACGAGGCAGTGAAAAAGCACTGATTGCTGAATATTCCGACTCTGATCAGCGAAAAATACGCAAGCTAATTAAAGAAAGTGAACTCGGTGACTTAAAGCCTACACAACTGCTGAAACGGATGAGAGAATTGGCCAGGGATAAACTTAGTGACGATGTGCTAAAATCGCTATGGCTCGAACGGTTACCTGATAATGTACGTGCGGTGATATCAATTGGCACTGGCGATTCAACAGACATGGCACGGCAAGCGGACCAAATGATGGAAATGTTAAATTTTTCGAATGTATCAGCCATACGTGGCGAGCCTACACTCGGTAAGCAGATACAACAACTACAAGCTCAAATAGACGAAGTCAAAGTGTCTCGAGCACCACGCAATCAGAGTAGAAGTACAAAGTATCAGGAGCAAAAATGTCGAGTGACAAAAATTATTATTTTTTTAATTAATTTTCAGTTATTTTTCAATTATATGCACGAATTTTATTGTTTTATCTGTTTCTATTATGAAATGCACGTACACGGAAAATAGTAAGAAAAATTCTTTTTCTTCCTCCTTTCTTAGCGTACGTACGCCTAGCTACCAACACTGCGCTACGCCAAGCGATTTGCAGCTAGCTTGCTGTGACGAACTCGTGAATCTGACGACTCGTATGCAGATCTAAATTTAAATGCACGTGTGCGGCATCAAAGCGTACAACTTTCGTATGTAGCATCTAATACGCGTCTAAAACGATACGACCCATGTGCAGACTGCCTTGTACTAGTGCGGTTCATAAAACGCCGCAAAGTGGCATTTTTGGCGAAATGTCAACGTTGCAAACAAAGTTGTATGAACGATCTATCGAAACTTCGGATTACAAATGTAATTTTTTTTTATGATGCTTAAAAATTTTGCAACAAATGCAACCTTTGTAACAATTTTGCGACAACAATTTTGTAACAATTTGAATCCCACAGTAGGTGCTTTTCCCAATAGATTATTTTATAATTAGCGTTAGGGGGTTTTTAGTGTTAATTTAGGAGCTCTTAGCTAGTTTTTAGCGATTTTATTCATAATGATCGCAGTTCTTTACATTTACATTTCGCAATGCAAAAAGACGACGAGACTGAAACGCTGTTTGCTATTACTGTTACTGTTACTGTGTTTTAACGGTAAACTCTTTTCGCATTTCCAACATTACATAAAAGGTATGTTTTATTTACTTATAAGTATTGCAGACTGCATTTAACTAACTCCAACGAGCTTAGTAGTGACGAAAACGAGGACGATATTCGATAAAAGTGCACTTTACCGAAATCAGGCCAAAATTTATGAAAAAAATTCAAGAGGGGTATCAATCGACGCTTTAATGCGAACAACAATAATCCGAGACCAGAAATTCACATTTTTAANGATGCTTAAAAATTTTGCAACAAATGCAACCTTTGTAACAATTTTGCGACAACAATTTTGTAACAATTTGAATCCCACAGTAGGTGCTTTTCCCAATAGATTATTTTATAATTAGCGTTAGGGGGTTTTTAGTGTTAATTTAGGAGCTCTTAGCTAGTTTTTAGCGATTTTATTCATAATGATCGCAGTTCTTTACATTTACATTTCGCAATGCAAAAAGACGACGAGACTGAAACGCTGTTTGCTATTACTGTTACTGTTACTGTGTTTTAACGGTAAACTCTTTTCGCATTTCCAACATTACATAAAAGGTATGTTTTATTTACTTATAAGTATTGCAGACTGCATTTAACTAACTCCAACGAGCTTAGTAGTGACGAAAACGAGGACGATATTCGATAAAAGTGCACTTTACCGAAATCAGGCCAAAATTTATGAAACAAATTCAAGAGGGGTATCAATCGACGCTTTAATGCGAACAACAATAATCCGAGACCAGAAATTCACATTTTTAATTCATTAAAGAGCTATCCACAAAAAACACTTGCACTTTTCGCACTATGTTTTGATGAATTTGACGCAAATAAATGGAGTAAATGAACTCAACTGAACACATATTCATTAGTTTTTATACATTTGTGATGTTTTAAGNAATGCTTAAAAATTTTGCAACAAATGCAACCTTTGTAACAATTTTGCGACGTTTCATGAATCCCACAGTAGGTGCTTTTCCCAATAGATTATTTTATAATTAGCGTTAGGGGGTTTTTAGTGTTAATTTAGGAGCTCTTAGCTAGTTTTTAGCGATTTTATTCATAATGATCGCAGTTCTTTACATTTACATTTCGCAATGCAAAAAGACGACGAGACTGAAACGCTGTTTGCTATTACTGTTACTGTTACTGTGTTTTAACGGTAAACTCTTTTCGCATTTCCAACATTACATAAAAGGTATGTTTTATTTACTTATAAGTATTGCAGACTGCATTTAACTAACTCCAACGAGCTTAGTAGTGACGAAAACGAGGACGATATTCGATAAAAGTGCACTTTACCGAAATCAGGCCAAAATTTATGAAACAAATTCAAGAGGGGTATCAATCGACGCTTTAATGCGAACAACAATAATCCGAGACCAGAAATTCACATTTTTAATTCATTAAAGAGCTATCCACAAAAAACACTTGCACTTTTCGCACTATGTTTTGATGAATTTGACGCAAATAAATGGAGTAAATGAACTCAACTGAAAACATATTCATTAGTTTTTATACATTTGTGATGTTTTAAGTGTACACTTTCGCGAAATTCTGTATTTAATAGCAATATTCCGATGGTGAAAATCCGCACAACAACCTGCGTAGTAAACTAGTGTTGCCACTCTATTAAAAAAGTTTTTATGCGTGCAACTCCTTTTTGCGTAGGCGGCCTGCGGCCGCGCTTAGGAATTATAACCTCCACAACGTATAATTATCCTTTCTGTGTTGCCAAAGAAAAGGGGCAGAATACCTTTTA